TAAACTATAGATTGGACCAAATAGTGGTTGGGTTCTTTCTTTAAGATCAATTGAGCAATCGTATGGATGATACTCCGAGAGAATATCTACATTCTTCTTCTTAAAAACATCTTGAAAATCTTGATATTGACTTGGAATTTTACTTGAAATCTTTCCATGATTTAAAATGGGTATGGTATAAAAAATAAAAGATGATCTTTTTTTTGCAACATACAAAAAAGCTTTTGCACCTACAAGTATAAGTTTGGCTACACTAAACTCATGGCTTTCTACTGGATTAGAAAAAGTCTTATTAATGTTTGAAAAAAAATCAAGTTTACGAGAAATTCAATCTATCATAAGATTATATTTTTTTAGCCACAATAAATTTAAAATAACTAGATTAGAAAGAGATCTAATTATATTAAAAAATTATGCAACTATTATGATCATTTATTACTACATCTATAGGAAGTGTTTTATGAGTAACATCTCCAAAAGATAATGGATGACTATCTCTAATTTCTATGTGTATAGGTTTAGTTTTTTGTACTAACTATATATTATAATAAATTCTTCATCTATAAAACAAGCTGAGACTCCTAAATCTATTAAGATAGAGGCTCTGTGATTATTAGATCCTAAATGCACATCTATTATAAAATAAAGAGAGGATTTTGGCAATAGCCATTCAAGTTCTTCTTTGAATATATATACTTTCTTCTATTTTGTCACTTTCTTTTTGACACAGATTCCATGAGTTTATATATCTTTTTCTAATTTGTATTCTTAACAGATTCATAAGAGTACACATACAATATTAGAGCTTTATCTTTTCTTGATTAAGAGTGGATTACTTCTTTCTTTTGATAACACATAAGCATATTAAAAGTTGTGGATTACTCTCTTCTAAACTGATATTATTTCTAGAAATTTATTTTTTGATTCTTGAGTATTATATTTTGTAAGAATAAACACCTTTCTTTTTATTGTGCTAGCATGGCAAAGCTTACTAAAAATAAAGAGTACAATAGCTCAAATGCAAGAGTAAATGAGAGAATTAATACTTGCAATGTATTAACTCAGTCTACCACCACAAGGAGCAATAAGACTATTAAGTAATGAAGATATAGAGATGATTGGAGTTGCTTCAACATCTACATCAAGCCATATTACTACTCCTATAATAAAACATTGTTTAAGTTTTAAAGAATCAAAGATTAGATTGCCTGAGAAGTTTGATGGTATAAGATCTAAGTTTTGAGGATTCATCAATCAGGTATAAATGGTGATTGAACTACAATCTCAAAATTATCCAATTTAAGCATTATAAGTTAGGTTTATTAGAACATTACTTTTAGATTTTGCTTTATCATGGTTTTCATCATTTTTTGAATGACATAATTGAATATTGGATAATTTGGAAGTATTCTTAGTAGAGTTTTGATTTATATATGGAAAACATGATATAATCTATGTTGCAACCAACAAGATTTGTATCTTGTGACAAGACAATCGATTAATGACATTATATGCTTCACAATTTCAACAATTAGTGATAGTTATCAAGTAGGATGATACAATACTCATCAGCCAATTTTTCTATGGATTACAATATGATGTAAAGAAATTAATGCTCAATTTACCTGATCTTTAAACATTGAGTCAAGCAATGTATATTCAAGGATCCTCAAACATTGAAGAAAATATGTATATTTAAGGAAGAATTGGAATAACTATTGCCAAAGACTAGAAAACATAAGATTCTTGAAACTACACTAAAAAGCAAAAAAAGAGTTGAAAAGAGTAAAGAAGGCCTCACTCTTGCCTCTATATATACTACTTAACTAACAAATACATGGCAATATGCTATAAGACTTCTAATATATGTCCAACTTGCAGAACACATGTCTAATTTGTAAAGCAAGTTTCCTAGGTGTATGCCATATGTCCAACTTGTACTAAAAGTAGTCAACATGTTGATATGTGGCCTCCTCGTTGGCCAAGTTTTCAACCTACCAATCACCTATAGACATGTATAAAGTTAAAGCAGCATCTATGAAGCTTCTAGGAAGCTGTCTACAAGATATTATCATATTTATCTATTTTGACTTACTTCTATCTATTCTTATTATCTAGATAATTTTCAAGATAAATATGTAAGTCCGTGACGGTTAAAAGAGATAATAATCAAAACTATAAACAAAACAAAGAATGAAATGTGAATGGCCAAGGAAAAAAGGCTGTTAAGTAGAAAATAATTATAGGAGGGATACAAAAAAATAAAAAAATACAAAAGTTCTAAAAATATGTTAAGATATTAATAAAAATAATATCTATAGATAAGACACAATCAAAAGATGAATTATTTTGGTGTATCAATCATGTTTAAGATGTGCAACTAAAACAATTCACATAAAACTTATCAAAGTGCAAGTAGTGTTTATATTTTTTAATTTATTTTTAAATAAGTTTTATAAATAAAAATAAAATAAAAATAAAAATATCAACAAAATTTAATTAAAAAAATTAATATAATATAATTTTTTGGATTAGAAAAATAAAACTAAACAAAGGTATTTTACTTACAATTTAGTAATTATAGCATAATCTATATAAATTTGAAATATAATTATAGAATCATTTTAGCAAAGTGATAATGAGCTAATAAAAAATATATAATTTGAAATATGTATATTTTATTAAATATAATTGAAGAAAAAAATATTTTATAAAAAATAAATAAGAAGAATTCTAATGTATATATATGTCCAATCTTTAAAAAAAATCTCTACTTTTATATTCGTGATTATTTATTTAGAAAATCAAATACTAAAAATATTTAATTCATTAAATTTACATGCCTATCAAAAGCATTTAGGTTGTAGATAGAAATCATATATTTGTTTGAAGTATTTTCTTATACAACCAAATCACTCCAAATTAAAAAAACTTCTATTTATTGGTAACAATCAAGAAGAAGATATTTAGTTTGAAGACCACTCCATGTATATCTATAGTCTCAAATAGAAGATTTATAATAAAGAAGAAGAACAATTACTTGCAAAAATGAACATGGTATAATAAATGTCTATATTACTTGAGTACATAGAAATAAATAAAAATAAGTAATATTTGGTCCACACATATTAGGTAGATAATAACTTCCTTAAGAAGCTTGGAAGAATTTATTTAGATGCAAATTATTAAGACTTATACATTGTCAATTTTTTAAAGATTTATAATCAATCTTTATACAAAACATATACTAAATTTTATAGTAAATATTATTTAATATATTTAATATATTATTAATTTGTGAAACAACTTAGAATCTTATTATTTCTTTTAGAATTATTTTCTAAGAACAAAATAATATTTTGGATTCTTATATTATTCAATTAACTGAAAATAATTTAAAATAAATTCACATATATACATATACATATATATGTATGTAAATGTAAGATATATATATTTATTAAAGAATATTTAAAAATATAGATTAGATTTAAATATATTATTAAAAAAATTATGTTGACATAGATTTTTTTTTAAATGGTTTTTTGTATCTAAGAAACAATTATAAAAGAATCATGAAGTCCAAACACTTAGCTTATAAGCCTTGTAGTCATTGTAAAACTTTTACATTGTTATTTTTTTAACCATTACATATGCATGGAAGATTAATACTATTTTAAATTATCTTCATCATTTATTTTATATTCTAGTGTTTATTTAAAAATCTCTAATATCTTTTTGTTTAGCAATAGCTTTCTTAGTATATTTTATAATAAAAACAAACATTATTTTATATCTTTTTTTGTTAATTGAATATGATCATCTTATGTTTTACCAAGTTTGTGTAGATTCATGTTTTTGATACATAATACCAAAAGTCTATAGAAAAAATACTACAAACATAAGATTATTTAATTGCATCACGATAGTATAATAACCAATTAGATATGGACAGAGAAAGAAACAAAGTAACTTTTTGCTTAGAAGTTTCAAAACCCAATCTAGACATATGCCTTGGCTAGAATTTGTCAAGATCTTGTCTTATGCTACCTCTCTATCTATTAATTTTTTTTTATCACTTGAGTCATAAAAAAATAAAAAACTAATGTTTAATAGACATGTTCATTTTACAAACTGAGAAGGATCGATTACTTGTATTCTAACTCTTCTTAACCTTTCAACCACAAATGCACTCTCACCAAGCAGCAAAGCGTACATTTGTGGATAGTCACGGACACATTCCATGGCACATTACAATGTTCTAACTCGGCATATGCTAGAATGACTCGTGTTGCTGGCACTTGAAGAATCACATGACCTTATTCGTGCTGTGCAGGAATGAATCTCCTAAAAGACACAAGCTGACAGTTTGAAGCATCAGAATATATTCATCCCAATCCGGCATTCCACACATTTCCCTTCGTCAATTATTAAGTGCACGAAACCAAGCAGAAGAATGGATAACATGACATCAGAAATTATGCACAAGGCAGGAAATCATGTCGTGGATGTGCGGTGACGTCGCAGCATGGATTGAATTTCAGTTGGAGAGGGTGAACAGATATCCACTGCGACTCTATATATTCCTTTCCAGCCTAATCTGACAAAACACCGACGTCGATGTACTTCGACCCATCTGATGATAAATATAATAAGCGAAAAGGAAGCAGTGTGAAAAGCACTTGCACCCTGCCTTGGAAGAGCTTTCTTCAACTAGTGAACACAGTTGCCGTGTTTATTAGCAATCAAAAGGATGTAACCCCAAAAAACAATATTTGAGACATAGCTATTGGATCACTCGTTCAACGTTTACATTATCCTAAAATCAGCTGAAGGGTTCCATGACGTCTCAGAACTATTCACCCGCAACCGAAAAAAAATACGAAGGCTGGGTAGGAATGGGCTCGTGAGGCGGGGGGAGGGAGGGAGCAAGGGTAGTGGTGGCTTGCTGCGTGGAGTCCTGGGGCCCGCTCTCCCTCAGTGCACCAGGATTCCGTCGCAGATTCCGCCTCTGCAAGTTCGCTCTAATCCCTTTGGTCGCACATCGTCAGGCACTGTGCACTTAAGCTGCTCAACACCCAGGTGACGATCGCAACCTCCTGCCCGCCCCTGCCATCTCATATAGATCCATGACTTGCACCCTCCCTCTCCTGCGCTTTCTCACCTCCTAACGCATTCGATCCCGACTCCGACAATCGCCTCTCTCCTCGTCGGGTCCTCGATCATCTTTTTTCAGCCCATCGGAGCCGCCCAGAACTGCCCAAGCCTTTCGCTGGGGGGTTTGTGCATGCTGTGGTGGCGCGTGGGGTTTTAGGAGTGGCACAGGGGTTTTGGGACAGGCGAGGCTTGTGCATCGGTTTGGCGGGTTCCGTTGCGGTGGTCTTGCTTGTATACCTGTGCTTCCGGGTGGTGCGGTTCTTTTCTGACGAGCGACGTGGTTCCGTGTGGTGCGTGAGAAGGCGTTGTGTATCGTGGGGGTTTTGGGGGCGAGTGTTGTTTCTTTTCGGTGAATGCTTGGAATTTGTGGGCCATGGAGTGATTGGAGCTGTCGCGAGTGAGAGGGTCGGGCGCTGTTGTGAAGTGCGTGCGAAGAAGCTGCAGGGATGGCGGCTGTCCAGATGCCGGGGCTGCATGGCGCGCACGCGTGCATCGCTGCGGGTCAGCGCAATTCGTCGACGAAGATGGTCCGGAATTGGGTTTCGAAAGCTCCGTGCTCTGTCTCGTCTTGTAGCAGCCTGAGCCGAGGCGCGCTTCTTAGCTATGGGAGCCTGATCAAAGTGGAAGGCAGGACGAGGGTGTGCTCGCTGGTGGAAGCTTCTTCTGCATCTGCTGCAATCATGGGGGATGCGGAGGGCGAGGGGGAGGGCGACGGAGCGAGCAGGAGGGAATGGGTGAGCCCCATGCCCGGCAATCCCATGGATGGGTGGCTGCGGAAGGGCGATGAGCGTGAGGGCGATGCGTGGAGGGAGGAATGCGGGGTTGTGGCGATCTTCGGGGATCCAGAGGCCAGCAGGCTGTGCTACTTGTCCCTGCATGCTTTGCAGCACAGGGGGCAGGAGGGCGCTGGAATCGTGACCGCCGACGGAAACACTCTGCATGCCGTCACAGGTGCGCCGGGCTCGTCATGGAGTTGCTGCTCGTCCTCTCGGCGTTTTCGCTACTGATTGTTTGGTTATGTTTGCTTTGGCTTCGCAATTCGAGGTTGGGAGGCAGAGCCGGGGAATTGTATGCACAGTGGTCAAGGGTTTATGCCCTGTTCCGAGGTTGGCAGTTTTCTGACGATGGTAATTTGCATGGCGAGTCTAGGCATGGGGCTCGTGAGCGAAGTGTTCGACGAAGGCAAGCTGCAGAAACTGCCCGGGTCCTGCGCCATCGGGCATGTGAGGTACGCAACCGCCGGGGCCTCGGTGCTGAAGAACGTTCAGCCGTTCGTGGCGGCCTCCCGACAGGGAGCGCTCGCGGTCGCGCACAATGGGAACCTCGTCAACTACTCGGAGCTGAGAGGGAAGCTGGAAGAAAGCGGTTCCATCTTCAACACCTCGTCGGATACCGAGGTAGGCCTGATGCAGTCGGTGTGTATGTACTTGAAGGCGGTCCAATGCTGTGGCGTGCATCTCCGTTCTCGTGCGCGATGGCGCGCGAGACGGTTGTTCTCGTATCGTGGACGGCAGCCTTGTGGGTAACCGAAGGAGGTGTACTCGATGACGGAGGGTGGACATCGGATAGGGTATGCTTGGTGTGGAGTGGATGGGAGGGTGCCCCACAGAATCCTGGAGTGTGTGGAGGCACTGAGATGAGGCATGTAAAATCGGAGATGAAAGATGTCGGGGTAAAATGGTGCAGTGTGCAGGTCCTGGAGTAGAACTCGAGATTTGGGATTTTTGTGGAGGATGCTTGCGGACATGGTGTGAGGCGTGTGATATGAATGTGCGTGGTGGTTGGATTTGCAGGTGATTCTCCACCTGATCGCCATATCGCAGAAGCCGCCGTTTTTGGCTCGGTTGGTGGAGGCGTGTGAGCAGCTGGAGGGCGCGTATTCGTTAGTGTTCTTGTCGGAGGACAAGGTGGTGGCAGTGCGGGACCCTCATGGATTCCGGCCTCTGGTGATGGGCATGAAGAGCAACGGAGCATACGTTTTCGCTTCGGAGACGTGTGCATTGGACCTGATCGAGGCGGAGTACGTCCGCGAGGTGAGAAGGGGTGGTGGAGGTGGTGGAATGCGGAAATAGTGAGGGTGGAATGGGTAGAGAGTATGAATGCAAAGGCGGAGGTGTGATGGAATTGGCGATGATGAGATTGTTGGCGACGTGTGTCTAGGTTCAACCTGGCGAGGTGGTGGTGGTGGACAAGAACGAGGGGTTCAGCTCTTCGTTTCTGATGCCGAACGTTCGACCAACTCCTCAAGCGTGCATATTCGAGCACATATATTTTGCGCAGCCGAACTCGGTGGTGTTTGGGCGATCGGTGTACGACTCGCGGTACGAGTACGGGCGGATCTTGGCAGCGACGGCGCCCGTGGAGTGCGACGTCGTGATCGCGATACCCGACTCGGGAGTGGTTGCAGCGCTGGGGTACTCAGCGGAAGCCAAAGTGCCGTTTCAGCAAGGCCTCATCAGGTCGCACTACGTGGGCAGGACGTTCATTGAGCCGTCCCAGAAGATCCGCGACTTTGGTGTGAAGCTGAAACTCGCACCAGTGGCGCACGTGCTAAAAGGTAAGCGAGTCGTGGTGATCGACGACTCCATCGTGCGGGGGACAACCTCCATCAAGATTGTGCGGCTGCTCAAGGAGGCGGGAGCGGCCGAGGTGCACATGAGGATCGCAAGCCCTCCCATCACGGGGTCGTGCTACTACGGCGTGGATACTCCGAGCAAGGAGGAGCTTATCTCGCACAGGTAACATGCACATGGTTCGATGTTGGGAAGTGCTAGAGTGGTGTGAGGGGTGTGCGGGTGATTCATGCATGGCGGTGGTGGTGGGAGGTGTGGTCGAGCGTGTGGGTGGTTATGGGGAGGAGATGGTGGGGAGTGAATGAATTGGGCGAAACGGGCACGCATGAAGCGTGGGCAGGGTCGATGGCAATGTTGCGGAACGCGTTGGGTGGTATGGTGCGATGAGCGGAGCGTGAGACGTGCGCCCGGAGAGGCGTTTGGAGTGGATTGGGTAGGGTGCGAGGGTGGATGCGTGGTGGCCGTTTTTTGTTGTTGCTGCTGTATGCGCAGCATGTTGACGCGTTTGTGTGGGGCTTGCGTGAAGGTTGAACGTGGAGGAGACGAGGAAGGTGCTTGGCGCGGAGTCTTTGGCGTTTCTGCCGCTGGAGCGACTGAGGGGAATGCTGGGGGACGAGGCGCCGAAGTTCTGCGACGCGTGCTTCTCAGGAGCGTATGCAGTGCCGCCGAGGGACTTGACGAAGTTCAAGGAGGAGAAGTTGAAGCCCGTTCAGATCGTGGCTGCTTGAGAGAAGGTGGAGTAGAAGGGCCGGGGATCTGGCACGGTGTGCGATTGCGTGGGACACGTTGCGGGTGGGTGACTGCAGTGCAAGGAGAGAGAGCTCGAGCTGACGGCGGGGTTAGTTGAGTGCGCCGGTGGCTCGGCCAGGAATGGTCTGGCGGAGTGCGACCTAGGTGAGCGTAAATCGAGTAGGGTAGATAGGGAGATGAGCATTGATGGAGAGGGTCGCAGGAGCTGGTCGTGGTTCCGGATGTGTGAATCGGGAGACTCGGAGGCGAGGAGAGAAAATGGTGGATGAGGGAGCCCTGGCCGAAAGCGGTCGAAAGCGGCACATTTATGTATGTTTGTACATTTGCCGGGTGCCCTTGATGTTTCACTGGGGTGGGCACAGTTTGAGTTATATGCAGTGAAACAGATGGTTAAGCTCTCGGAATCAAAGTTGGTGAATGGAGGAGTTGGTGTGAGGAATTGATATGTGGGAGGAGGAGGTGTTGGGATGATGTAGAGTATGGTGCGTGATGTTGGATGTGGACGTTGCAATGTTTGGATGGGTTGTGTGTGGGTATTGACAGCACGAGTATCGTGAGCGGTGGGTGGTAGAAGGAAAGTTTTTTTTTTTTTTTTTTTTTTTTTTTTTGAATGCGGAATCTCGGTAATTTGAGACGGGTAGTGTGGTAGTTATTGGTAGTGCTTGGAACATTTGAGTTGTGATGAGTGGTAGAGGGGTGGGTGTTGGGTTTCGAGGGATGGTGACATAAGTGTATTGCAGTTGCGTGTTGTGCTGGTGGGGGAATAGTTTGACTCATAGGTTTTCTTTTTTTTTTCTTTGTGATTTTTGTTTGGTTTCCATGTTTTGTGTTTTGGAGCGTTAGTGGTGTTGATCGGTTAGGCGCTGAAGTTGAACTGCTTTGTTGTGTCCTTGTTGATGGAGGTATAGTGGGGGGTTTAGTTATTGAATGGCATTTGGATCTGGTCACAAGATTTGGCTATGGAACAATCCTCAAGGTGTTGAACTTGTAGCCCGCGTGATGGATGAAGTAATGAGCATTCGGAGATTTTTATCTTCTGGAGTTGCGAAGGTGGACTTGTTAGGTATCGGTTTGTGTTTATGTTGTTCTATATAGTGAGTGGTAATTTCTTGAGCACTCGATTAATTTCAGTTTTAGTGGCTCGGGTACCCTGACGGTTTTATGAAGATGTGGACTTTGTCTTATCTTCCGGATAAATGATTTCCTGATGGGATTCTTTGTTGTTTTAGCTGCATATGTTTGTCAGGTTTTGAGATTTAATTTTATGGTGTCGGATTTAATGTGGAGTGTAACGTATGGAGTAATTGATTTACTATGTTTTCTTACTTTTTAAAGAAGTTTTGTTATTCTTGTTTTGCGCTGGTTCAGTTTTACCGTGAACAATACTTAGAGTTTTGTATGAATTGGAGTGAATCTAGGCAATAATTGATTGACTGGGTAGCTCAATTTAAGGATACGCGTGGAAGAATTTGCGGCGAAACTCTAGTATAGAGTTTGCAGTGTATGAAATCGCTCAGATGTAATGCATTTCGTCGGTATTCCAGTTATTCTATGTATACCCAGTTGCCTCAACAATATGTTAGTTTCGAAGTCCATGAACGTTATTTCCGAATGTGTCGACATGAGATCTGTGAGCTGTTTCGGAAGTTTGTTCTGATTTTCAGCTTTCTTATAGGAGCTACAAATAGAGTTGTAGGATCCAGTGCAAGGTATGGCTGGACATACATCTGCTATTGCGTAGTGAGTTGCTGTAATGTAGGATCAGGTTAGCTTCTTGCTCAACCTAGAAAATAAAAGCAACACAAACAGAGCAGCATACGATGGTTTCCGATTCCAAGGAGCGCTCATAAAATACTGCTAATCGTTCTGCGGCATAGTTCGCTGACATGCGACAGTATGAGATTGATATCATGGCAATTGAATGAGAACGCAGGAACTCACAAAGTTTCTCTCCACCAGGGTGCTAATGGAGAAGCACCTGTGTGAGTCACGAAGTTAAGGGATCCATGAAACAAACAGACTGAATCTGCCAGCTGATCTCTTTCATTTCTGGTCACAGTTTCTTTTCGTAAACGTTACATTACTCGTCATCCCAGTGGGTGTCCAATGGCGGAATCGTTTCGAAATATCCTGTCTAGAAGGAATTTTGTTTACAAGAGTTACTTGAGCTGTATAAAGAAATCATGAAAATGATGCATCTTTTAGGAGGGAGACGAAAAGTTCCTAAAAACTCTCGAATGGAGGATGTTATGTACGATGTAATTAGTTTATTTCATGGCAAATATTTGATTGTAAATTACTACATGGTATGAAGCATGATTTCGTTTTGCATGTGAACTTATTGTTCAAATTATATATACATATATACATATATAAAATAAAAAAACACAATATACCTTGGCAGCAAATCACGGCAGCCAATCAATGCCCTTTACTGCAGTAATAATAATAATAATAATAATAAATAAAACACAAACACAAACTTAATATACCTTGACAATCAGTGCCCCTACTGCTCCAGCCTATGGGATTTTTTGATGCTACATACAGACGAAAGCTGCTCGATTTTTTTATATAAGTAGATATGAGCATATTTTGATATATTGTTAACTCAAACATATAATTTGAACATTAGAGTAATACACATTTAGATACGTTTAAATTCAAAACATTATACAAATTTTAATATGTCTTGTAACATATCCATAGCATACTATAGTCATTAGTGACTATCAAGTAGGACAACGATTTTTGTCGGTTCTCTACACGTCCAACGTATAGCTGTAGAATACATCAATTTAAATAAGGTACCTGAAGAGTATTCTTAACAGTTAACGTCGGTCCATTGGAAACCTTGGCAGAGAGAAGGATGGACATAATCTCATCATAATCAAGTATAATTTACTTTATTTTCAGATATTTGAATTCATACTTTATAATAAACATTTTATGAAACTTTTTAAAACAAGCCTCACACTTGATAATATTCATTCACTTACATAATTTATAAATATACTCTTAAAAACATACTTGAGAGAGAAAGAGAGATTTAACAGGTAAAGGAATTACAATGAAACTAGAAATCAAAAGTTATTTTGGAATTATATTTCTCCTATGATCGTATCTCTGCTCGTGAGTAATGAATCAAGCTCCATCGAATTCCTTGTTCCTGTAAGAGATTTGAAATGCCATGTTGTAGCTTCGGAGTTGGTGCAAAGATCCCCAGCTTTGAGCAGGCGCAGCTTAAGTGCACAGTGTCCGACGATGTGCGACCAAAGGGATCAGAGCGAACTTGCAGTGGCGGAATCTGCGAGGAAATCCTGGTGCACTGAGGGAGAGCGGGCCCCAGGACCACCACCACCTCACGAGCCCATGCCTTCCTTGACTTTGTAAATCGTGCCATATCGAGTCGGGGTGCTGCTTCGCGTGGTGATGGCGGCGACACCGCAAATCTCCCCAGATCATGTTTCCGGGTGTGTCTCTTTGGCGTTGTCAGAGTAGCGTTTGCAACTGAGTAGTCATGGTCCGCCCTACTGGTTTCTGTTCCTGCCACTTCACCCAGCTGAGATTCAGGTCAGCATGTATCCATTGCAAGTAGTGGATGTTTTGATATTGTAAAGTTTGCAATGTTATAGAATATTGTAAAGTTTGCAATGTTATAGAATAATTGGGTTGAAAGGTCGTGGTTTGAGAAGTAATTCCAGTGAAGTGAAGTCTGTGATTGTATTTTTGCTGTATCTCTCAACGTCAGTATGGATTTACAGTATTTTACTTTTACTTTTCTTGTGGTTGGTGTAATGAATGAAAACTTCATGATTAAGTAGGCTTCTTTTTATTTATATAAATTTTATTGTATTGATTTATGTGAAACACAGACACACTTTTATTTATATTTATTTCATATTTTTTTTCCTTTGATTTATGTTCTGATTTTTTTTTCATGAGTGCTTGTTAAGACTATTTTTTTACGTAATAGAAAATGACAAATTATTTACCCCCCTTTTTTTTTTCTAGCCTTTTTTTTTTTTTTTTTTTCATATTCATTTGGGCCCACAATTATTCCTCTGCATTTCTTTTTCTTTATTTTTTCCTTTTGAAACAATAGAAAAAACATTCAACAAGAAAACTTACATAAGTTAAATAAGAAATCAACATTTGCAGCTCTACTGTTCATGCTAAGTTTTTTTTTAATAGAGCATAAAATCCCATATTTGATTAATTTATACAACCTCATTTGTATAAAAGTTTATGCCTTACATTCACTTCTTGCTACACACATATGAGATATTTTAAATAAAATCGACACTTGTTTTCTTGATTTCAAAGAAAGAATCACAACTTCGTGGTTGCAGTATCCAAGGATTTTGTTAAATTATTGGTACCAGTAGTTAGATTTTACTTGAAGAGGATCTTTGGCTTCGAGCCATAAGGAAAAAGAATGTGGTTCCCTCGTAGCTAATCATGTTCAATAATGGATCAATGGAATCAGAATTATATATATATATATAAATGGAATCATTTTCGACTTTGTTGATGAACCTTGTGTAGAGATGTACACTTCCCATGTGCTCACCTTTGTGAGTAGATACGGGATGAAGAAGAATTCATGGAATGGTGGGTTGAGATGAATCATTTCCCCTGGATGCTTTGGAAACTCTACCTAGATAGTTAAGGATGTAAAAACATAGATGCAAAAAGGAGCATCAGTGTTATGAAATGGACAAATTCTTGTTCAGGGTTTTAACAGCTTCCACCCAGTATATAGATATAGATATATATATAGATATATATATAGATATATATATATAAGTACTCTGTTTAATTTATATCTTAAAATTTACTTTTTATTTTTATTTTACATATATCTTAAAATCTGTTTCAAATAATGTCAGTTTTGAAATATGTCTTTTTAGACAAGTCTGCTTAACCTTATATTTACTATTGTAATTTTATATTTTGACTTCTTTAAGGTTAAATAAAATATTTTTTAAAAATATTTATTAGATTTTAATAAATCAAAATAAAATTTACCTATTTTATATTTATATTTCTAAAAGTTTAATTATCTAGCCAAAATTATAAATAAAATTATTTTAGCTTTATAAAAATTTTGTCTTGTATACATATTTAAGTTTTTTTTTTTCTCTTCAATACATAAAAATTGTAATATTTTAATTGAATTATATTAATTTTATACTTATTTAGGATATTTTATATCCAGCTAAAAATTAGATAAAAATTATTAATGCTCAATTTCTACTAAAAAATGTTTTTGATTTCTTTTTTTTATAAAAAATATACCTTATAAAATTTAATTTTATCATTATTATTTTTATTAGAATTTTTTTTATTTAAAGCTTATAATTGGTTATTCCTCAGTGAAAAATTACAAAATATGTTTTGTTTAAG